CATTTCGATCTCGAGGGCCGTATCCTGCATGGATATATTTGAGTGTTGCTCTTCCCAACAATGTGTTGGGAATGTGTTGCTGTAGTGCATGCTAGGAATGTTGCAGAGGAAAGCGGTCGGTCCCAGAGATACTACTAGCATAGTACGCTACTAGCGAGTTCGAATAAGACAAAACGGCCCCTACTAGCGCTTTCCAGGATGTGTGTTGTCTGTTTGACTGAGTCTGGCTGTGACGAATCTTCTCGAAGGCAAAACTACCACTTGTACTAGTCTCTTGTATTCACTATTTATGTCATAAATATAACCTTTTTAATATCACTGATCATATCGTTAATGAGCATATTATAGATAGCTTTCCCATCCCGATTGAGTGAGGTAAAGTCGGCTTCAGGATAAGGATAAATGTGCTAAGCTGTGGATTTGAAAGCTACGAGTGTTGGAAAACACCTGCTATTGCCAGTGTACAAATCCCTGAATAAGGACAAGAAAGAATGGTCGCAGTACAACAGTAGAGGTTGCACTGTCTGCTTGGTGCAGTCCACTCATACCTCACACCTTGGTGAATGCTTTTGAGTTCAGAGGCCAGCTGAAGGAATACCTACTCGTATCATAAAGTTTCAACTTAACACTCCAGGTCTACATACTACCTTAAGTGGTTTACGTTGCAGATTTTATCTGAGTACTTACGCGTTCTTGATTGGAATGCATTTTCTACTCCAAGTGCCATCAAACTGGTCCATGAGCTACTTTCTCCGATGTCTGTATAGGATACCTCGTAAACCCCCCACCGTCATGTTTGATCATGTCTAATGTCCTGCAGGAACGTTTCTTGCTCGCTATGGTATTTTGCCTTCTTTGATTATGCTTGTTTGTTTGAAGCCCTTTGATAAACAGTCCTCAGCGTTTTAACATCATCACGAGTTTGACAATACGCGTGATCTATAGTACTGCACAATTGCCTTCCATAAGTTATGCAATCTGAACAGTACATCTGAAGAATAAACGTATTTACTCTGTTGCCTTTACGAAACCTAAGTGCAATGCCTTAATTTGTGTGATGCTTTTACAAGTGTAAGCCTAATACAGTTTCCTAATATCAGAAAACATCGCATTGTTATTAGTTTGTAGGTGTTTGCTGAATCGTCTGAACCAACGTGGGAAATTGGTGTCACTCCTACTTTGAAATTCGACATGCGCTTGCCATCTTGAGACGAAACGAGGCTCATAGACCTGAAGATCTTTCTCTATCTGTACTGACAGATGGAAGCGACTATTTGTTAACTGGACTTACTACACTGTTCAACACGATTTTGAACACTGAAGAGATGCCTTCAGACTGGCGAATGCAAACTGTCATGCCCATCTTCAAGTAGGTCCAGCGGGTTTTGTGCAAAAGCGATCGAGGCATAATCCTATTTCCACTGCTTCTGAACTTCTCACTGGTCTTATTCTCCGACGACTTGCTGGTTCTCGTGATAGCCGAATACTTGAAAGCCAAGCCGACCTCCACCATGGTCGTGGCTACAGTGTCCGCATAATAACTCTTCGTTGTCCATTGGAACAGGGACACACAGACAACCGAGTGTCCTGGTTTTACTTTACCTAAAAGCCGCGTTCTACTCTGTTGGTCGCGCCAGATTGTGGTACTCCCTATCCTTGAAGGGTATGCCATGAAAACTCTTTTCCGTTCTGATCTCCCTTTAGCATAACTCCCGAGTCCGTGTAAGGGTCTACAGAGAGCTGCTTCCTGAGTTACTGACAACAGGTGGGGTACGCCAGGGTTGTCCTATATCCTCTACAACTTTGTTATCAAAATGATCATGAGTGACTCCATTCTTTCAGTCTTTTCGTAAGTGGGAGTTCTGCCAGGTGACCGATTGACAAACCTTGGGTATGCGGACACCATAATTCTCCTTGAGTCTCACGCACTCACTCTTCAAACACCACTGGATAGACTGGTACGTAGCGTTGCACACTTCGGCGTGTACACTGCAAATCCAAAGTGTAAGATTTGGTTGAAGGACTAGACCGATACGCCACCGCTTTTGGCTATCACCGAACAGTCACTGGAAGTGGTGGATCGATTCACTTGCCATGGTATCTGTATCACCTCTGGTTTTCACATCAGGGAGGAAGTTTCTTTTCTTATCGGCAACGCTCCTGTGTTTATGGTAACATAGATACAATTTATGGAGGCGGTGGCATAAAAGCTTGTCATTGAAAGGTATGGTGTGCAACGTTTCGACAGGGCAAGTGTTACTGTATGAATCAGATACCTGGTCAGTCCTCAGTATTAAACGTTTAGGCGTGTTTGGCCACCGATGCTTGCGGCGTATTGCTCCCATCTGTGAGGGGGGGAACGCTGGCTGAGGTCCGCTTATTGGTTCTCAGCTGAAAGCCTTCTGGTGCATCGCGCGAGTGTTTGTTGCATCTTAATCGCTTACTTCCTCAGTGTGTGTGAATTATACATCATTGGATGCCCAAAGTTTGGCGAAAGCGCGAGGTGGTATGAAAGAATTAACCGAGAGACTTGGCCAGGCTGATGTGTGTCGTCATGATGATGGATGGGAGCTCCAAGATAGTCCTGACCAGTGGTTGGAAACTCTGTCAGATATGGATCAGTCGCGCGGTCAGTGTCGTTCCTGCATTCGGCATCTTGTATGTGGTTGTTAATTTTTGTTCCGCCCTGACTAGTTATGTACATTTCTTTCCTGACTCTAGTATATTCGCATTCAGTTCCATTTTTCTTGCAACATTTATTTGTTGTTATTCTGGCGACATGAGCCGTGGGGTAACTAGATCAATCCAACTACGATTCCCCGATCATAGTTACTCAACTGAATCCATCTTATGTGAACACTGTATAACTGGCAGAGTGGACTGGAATGTGTCTCCACCAGGCGACGTCATGTATTGTCATCGGCACTGTCTTTACCGTCGAATCGGAGAAGGTCACCTGGCCTCCCAGGGAAGAGAGTTCTTGCTTTGGAATCTACTGTTACTTCCGAATGGATAGCTTTGGGTCTCATTCTCCATCCCGCTACCTGATTGACATATATGAACTCAAAGAATGGTGTGCCTTAAGCTGAAGCACACCTTAATCGTCTAGACTGCTTGAACCATATCTGGGCTAGTAAGATTTCTGGCGCTGCATGGTCTAACCACTGCACACTACGACCGCATTTTCCAGAACAGGTAACGAGAACAGCCCTGATGGCACGAGTGTCAACCGAGTAACCGATTTCATCCCCATGCCAGCCCGAATCCCGTTCGAAAGAAATTACAACGGAAAGTTTTCGTATAGAACTCAGACGCGTAGAAAAAATTTGCTTGCCTTTACAAATACCCTTTCATGCCTTTTCCCAATCATATTTTTATAGATGTCTGCGATCGCTTAAAATGCATTAAGTACTGAAGAAACCCACATATCTTTCAGACAGTACCTCAGAACTTTGTCCTACGTTGGAATGAAACATTTTGCGGCAGTTATTATATCGCGAGTATTACATGCTAATGTGTTTAGCATTGGTAGTCAAGTCTATACATACAACCAGCGGCTTTTACTGACATTGTAGTCTTCCGTTTCCCTCGTATTGATTTCACTTCGATAGCGGACGGAAATCGGTCACTTGACCGCCCGATGGTGCTATCAGGATAGCGGGCGGGAACAAGGACCATAAAAATTTTTGATGACGCCCTGTCACAGTTTAATTCGCAGTGCTCGTTATGTAAGACCTGCTCGTCAGTTAACATCTTTAATCACTTTAATTCCCATGTCGTTCGCCTCCGCTCGCCAGATATATACCCATCCTAGGTGACGGCATGTTATGTCAGCAAGCTACCAACAAATTTTATGAACCTGGTCTGACAAATTTCTATTAAGCGAAGCGGCAACCTGCTGACTAGCTAGTATAGGGTCATTATGGCTTATTGTGGGTTGCTGCAAACTTTAGAGTCTTAAGATTCTTCTGTATAATAGTAATTATTATTACTATAAATTTCTCGACCACTCCACCGACCTTGAAGCGTAAAACATTTTGATTGAGCACCGTATCACTGTCAAAATATACATTATTAGATGGCATTTGGTCGTTCACAGCGGGTACTATAGTGTATCGAAGGGATCAAACCATGGTGAAAGCAACCATTAGAGCACCGATTTACACAATTAACTTTCGCGGTTTGAATCAACATACACACAAGAGATATCTGATGGCGAATCGTTTGTTTAACATCGTTTTTCGCTTTTATTTGGCAGTAGCATCGAGTTCATGTGAATCTTTTTCCTAGGTCTCATCTTTATACTGTATGGTGTTTGCCTTGTTTTCGCAGTTACCTTTTGGGTCGGGCCAACTTCCGTATACTTACATAACAGTATGCGATCTTCAGTTATTTTCTATCGACTCTCCCTGGTTTATCTTCTAGACCAAGTGGCTTAGCAGTCATTCGACAATCACTGTCTCCTGACCACTTTTCATCCATTGGGTATGTCGACACGAGGAACCCTTGTTTGCCTTATCATGTTTGGACAGCGCACATTCCCTCGCGCAACAAACAACCACTGAATTTTAGTGGGTTCCGTTTATTGTCTCAGATGGCCAGCCCTTGGCCTAAAGGATCCCACGCATGCCTTGTGATTCGAGGGCTCGGGTTCGATCCTGTGTAGGGGGCCGGGAGACCCTCGCAGTACTCTTCACCAGCGTGCGACTGGTGGTGGTTGCGTGGCAGCGAAGCGTCGGTACTTCGTACCGGCGTACTGTTGATACCTTTTTCATTTTCGCAGGTACGTATACGGTTAAGCAAAGCGCTATATGATAGAAGATGCTTCTTCTCCACTCTGGCCCTATATGGCTTGGTATTTCTGCGTTCTTGATGGCATCACACTGATCGAATATGTAGCATTTCCCAGATATATTTTGTATTGTGTCTTTTCGTATAGATATCATATGCAGTGGCATCAAGTCCTGTCATTAAACGCATATATTATTACACGTGTTCAGGTGTCTGGAACTTTCCAACTACGGGACGTGACTGGCCGTCCTGTCGGTAACATCGACTTGTCTATTTGCCTGTCGAGGCTCACCGAATCATCGCCTATTGTGGTACACCACTCTACTCCGTTTGATGACATTGTGAGTACACCATTTAACCTAAATTTTTTCTCAGTATATCCATTACAGCCATTTGCTCGCTGTACTGTTCTCTTCCATTGCTTTGATGCTAACACTATTTGCATTTCAATCCGCAACTCTGTTATCGCTGTCACACACACACACACACACACACACATGCTCCGAAGTTACGGCAAATAGTTACTTTTGCCGTCTGATACGTTCCGCGTACATTATGCGTAGACCGCAATGGCGTTTGCGCTGCAACCTTATGTACGTGGAGACGCCACCACAGCTCACCCTTTCCTCACTGCTTTCGACAAAATTATCCACTTACCTTCTTGCCGGTCACATCTGGAAAATCTGTTCGGGTGTTGACATTGTAAAGGGTACATTGATTTAGTATGGAAATGAACGGTTCAATCTAAGTCAGTAAAGTAAGTTTTATACACGCAGGCAGGTATATTTTCAGCATTTTACACTATCACTGATATAAATGTACACACAAATCAACAAAGTATCTAATGCAAAATGTGTGCGCGTGTATCATGCGGATACTTTTCTTGGGGTCAACGAGTGCTCGTTTTCATGGGCAAATTGGAAGAGGGTGGATTGAAAGCGGCCATCAGCAGCCTTATCCTTACCTCGATGACATCTTCCCTCTACTTTCCGTCTCTAGAAACATTGGGAAGCTCAACAACGTATCTAGCCAAACTCATAAGGCGATAGAGTTCACGTGCGAAGTAGAGAACAATGTTGCTTTTCATTTTCTTGATGTATCCTTAAACGGAATCGTTGGTGGCGTGTCACGTCCTGTGTACAGCAAGTGCACTTGGAGTGGGCAACACGCGAACTTTCATATCTGTGTCGTTTAGGAGTAACCGAAACATGATCATTAGCCTAATGCGCCGTATCGAAAGAATCTGCTCGCATGATACTTTTCTTAAAGAGTTACATTGCATACGTTCGCCGCTGAACGAAAATGGCTACCCTGAAAATTATATTAAAGCCATTAGAGGGAGTCACCTGCAATCCTGACGGTGGAACAGAAGCCTATATTACACTTCAAACACGTCCGGCAGCTCCTGCTGCGACCTGCAGGTAGCCTTCATCAACGTTTTCAGTATTATGAACAAGCGCGATGAGCTTTGTTGTTTTGTTGCGTCTGAACGGTCAGAAGTAGTGCGACTCACAGGGAGATGGCTTTATTCAGAGTTATACACCCAAGAACTTGAACTCAACGCTTACTCATGCTTCCGCTGCAATAGACTAGCGAATGCCCGCGGTGGCGTTTTGTTCTACATCCGGTCTTCCCTGCGTTGGAGACTTGTGAGCACCTACCGAACTGATGTGGTTTGTGTGAGCTACCGTGATGCTCCATCCACCTCAGGCACGGAGAACTACTTGTGGGTGCAGTTTATCGCAGCCTCCCCTGAGTGGTTGTTTGGATTGGCTTCCGCATATTCTAGCCCACATGAGTCGTCCACACTTTCTACTTATGGGTGATTTTAACTGTCCTCGAAGACGATGGCCTGATGTGCATTTGATGTCTGGACATAGTGAGGTTGAAGCAAAGTTCGTGGATTTGGTACTTGAAACTGGTGCATCGCAACACCTATGCCAGACAACACGCGTAACACCACGCTCAACCCTGTCCTGATGTTAACGAGCTACAAACAACGAGTGCGTGACGTTCAAATCCTGGAGCCCCTGGCTACAAGCGACCACTCAGTGCTCATAGCTGGTATGGAATTACCTTTGCCGTATTCACGTCCGCTGGAACCAGCTCACAACTACTGGAAAATGGACTTCGATGGTCTAGCTCGAGCCGCGAGCCAACTGGATTGGTCTCTATCACAAGCTGCATCCGTGGAAGACTGTTGGATATTTATAAAAGTGATGAACATCATTGTGTTCCCAATTTGTGCCCTTGAAATGTCGGAAGGTTGGACCGATTAAGGAGTATGGAAAATTGGCTCGGAGGCGGTGCAGGCTGTGGGACAAATTTCTTCTCTCGGGTTCCGCCAATGATTACGAAGGGTATAAAAGTCAGCGGAACCTTTGCAACAGTACAAAAAGGAATAAGGGCCGCCATTTCGAAGAGCAGCTCACAGTAGCCGCGAAGACCACTCCAAAGAGAATCTTTGCTTACTTGAAGCGACGCCTGAAGCCGGCAGGTGATGTTCCAGTGCTGGTTGGCCCAGCTGGACAGCCCCTAACCTCCAGCACTGAGCGTGCGTCCGCGTTGGTGGCGCATTTCGCTTCTGTATTTGCAAATAACCAGATGTCTGTTCCGAGTTCGATGTGTCCCGCTTTTACCGAACTCGACAGTCTGGATTGCGATGTTGAAGAAGTATGTCAACTACTCGCCAGCCTTGATGACACCAAACCTCCTGGATCTGATGGGCTTCACCCACTGATTGTCAAGTCACTTTCGGTCATCATCTCTCCTTTTCAACAGGTCACTGTCCGAAGGTTCCTTGCCGATTGACTGACAATCTTCGGTGATGTAGCCTATTCCGAAAGGCGGCGACTCTAGCAAAGTAGACAACTACAAGCCAATTTGTCTTACACCTATTTTGGCAAAGCTTGCTGAGAAAATCGTAAAACTCAAGTACTTCTTTCTGTGGATACTCCTTTACTTGTTCAAGTCGAACAAGTTATGTCAGAAGAACAACCAAGTGATTGTCTGAGAGAATCCGTGAGCATTGCCCGACTTGGCTGTGTGCAGGTAGGAGAAAAATAGTGTTGGCACATTTAGTTCATTTTAACCACCAGCTCGATAATTCCCAATCTTTTCAGTCAGTTTGCCGCGTACCTTGATGCTACACACGAGCGGTAAGATGTCAATTATTAGCACCAGCCGAGACGATTGCCATTCGCCTCCAGAACCCAGACCTATGTGCACAAAATCATAAAAAAGAGATTATTGCAGTTGCTACAGTCAAAAGCGGTCCTGACACCCGCACAGCACGGTTTTATGCAAGACCGCTTAGGCACTATAAACTTGCTTGTGACAAGGCATGAGTGGTTGAAGACAAAAACAAGGGAAGTCTGTCGATCTCATATCGATTTCAGTAACGCGTTCGACAAGGTCAACCATGAGATCCTCCTTCAGAAACTCAGGATATGCGGTGTAGCTGGTTCACTACACCGATGGTTCCGCGACTTTCTTGTTGGACGAAAGTGGAGGGTACAGGTCGACGACCATCTAACTGACTGGTACCTCTCTACAAGTGACGTGCCTCAGTGCACTGTGCTGGGGCACACTCTGTTCCTGACCGACATCAACGATCTACCTCAGCTTTTCCGGTCGCCGTGTGCTTTATTTGCGGACAACATGAAGATTTGGAGAGAAATTGATGCTCCGGACGACTGTGGCATACTTCAGCAAGACGTCAACCGCCTATCCATATGGTCTGTAGTAGTCCATCTCCCGGTCAACCCAGCCAAGTTTGTATTTGTGAGCTAGGGGAAGGGTGCTGACGGCCAAACACTATATCTCACACCCACCGTGAAGGACCTAGGCGTCTGAACGGCCAGAGGTGGTGCGACTCACAGGGAGATGGCTTTATTCAGAGTTATACACCCAAGAACTTGAACTCAACGGTTACTCGTGCTTCCGCTGCAATAGATTAACGAATGCTCGCGGTGGCGTTTTGTTCTACATCCGGTCTTCCCTGCGTTTCAGACTTGTGAGCACCTACCGAACTGACGGTAGTTTGTGTGAGCTACCGTGGTGCTCCATCCACCTCAGGCACGGAGAACTACTTGTGGATGCAGTTTATCGCAGCCCCCTGAGTCGTTGTTTGGATTGGCTGCCCCATCTTCTAGCCCACATGAGTCGTTCACACTTTCTACTTATGGGTGATTTTAACTGTCCTCGAATACGATGGCCTGATGTGCATTTGATGCCTGGACCTAATGAGGTTGAAGCAAAGTTCGTGACTTTGGTACTTGAAACTGCTGCATCGCAACACCTATGCCAGACAACACGCATAACACCACGCTCAACCCTGTCCTGATGTTAACGAGCTACAAACAACGAGTGCGTGACTTTCGAATCCTGGAGCCCCTGGCTACAAGCGACCACTCAGTGCTCATAGCTGATATGGAATTACCTTTGCCGTATTCACGTCCGCTGGAACCAGCTCACAACTACTGGAAAATGGACTTCGATGGTCTAGCTCGAGCCGCGAGCCAACTGGATTGGTCTCTATCACAAGCTGCATCCGTGGAAGACTGTTGGATATTTATAAAAGTGATGAACATCATTGTGTTCCCAATTTGTGCCCTTGAAATGTTGGAAGGTTGGACCGATTAAGCCTCTTTGGTTTGACAAGTAGTATGGAAAATTGACTCGGAGGCGGCGCAGACTGTGGGACAAATTCCTTCTCTCTGGTTCCGCCAATGATTACGGAGGGCATAAAAGTCAGCGGAATCTTTGCAAAAGTGCAGAAAGGAATAAGGGCCGACATTTCGAAGAGCAGCTGGCAATAGCCGCGAAGACCACCCCAAAGCGAATCTTTGCTTACTTGAAGCGACGCCTGAAGCCGGCAGGTGATGTGCTGGTGCTGAATAGCCCGGACGGACTGAGCCTGCGTCCGCGTTGGCGGCGCATTTCGCTTCTGTATTTGCAAATGACCATATGTCTGTTCCGAGTTCGACGTGTACCGCTTTTACCCAACTCGACAGTCTGGATTGCGATGTTGAAGAAGTATGTCAACTACTCGCCAGCCTTGACGACACTAAACCTCCTGGACCTGATGGGTTTCACCCACTGATTGTCAAGTTATTTTCGACCATCGTCTCTTCTCTGGTGACTGACCTTTTCAACATGTCACCCTCCGAAGGTTCGTCGCCGATTGACCGGAAATGTTCGGTGATGTGGCCTATTCCGAAAGGCGGTGACCCTGGCAAAGTAGACAACTACAGGCCAATTTGTCTTACACCTATTTTGGCAAAGGTTGCTGAGAAAATCGTAAAACTCAAGTACTTCTTTCTGTGGATACTCCTTTACTTGTTCATGTCGAACAAGTTATATCAGAAGAACAACCAAGTGACTGTCTGAGAGAATCCGTGAGCACTGCCCGACTTGGCTGTGTGCAGGTGGAAGAAGAACAGTGTTGGCACATCTAGTTCATTTTAACCACCAGATCGATAATTACCAATCTTTTCAATCAGTTCGCCGCGTATCTTGATGCTACACACGAGCGGTAAGATGTCACTTATTAGCAACAGCCGAAGCGATCGGCATCCGCCTCCAGAACCTAGACCTATGTTCATAAAATCATAAAAAAGAGATTATTGCAGTTGCTACAGTCAAAAGAGGTCCTGACACCCGCACAGCACGGTTTTATGCAGGACTGCTCATGCATTATAAACTTGCTTGTGACAAGGCATGAATGGTTGAAGGCAAAAACAAGGGAAGTCTGTCGATCTCATATCGATTTCAGTAACGCGTTCGACAAGGTCAACCATGAGATCCTCCTTCAGAAACTCAGGATGTGCGGTGTCGCTGGTTCACTACACCGATGGTTCCGCGACTTTCTTGTTGGACGAAAGTGGAGGGTACAGGTCGACGACCATCTAACTGACTGGTACCTCTCTACAAGTGGCGTACCTCAGTGCACTGTGCTGGGGCACACTCTGTTCCTGACCGACATCAACGATCTACCTCAGCTTTTCCGGTCGCCGTGTGCTTTGTTTGCGGACAACATGAAGATTTGGAGAGAAATTGATGCTCCGGACGACTGTGGCATACTTCAGCAAGACCTCAACCGCCTATCCATATGGTCTGCAGTAGTTCATCTCCCGGTCAACCCAGCCAAGTTTGTATTTGTGAGCTAGGGGAAGGGTGCTGACGGGCAAACACTATATCTCACACCCACCGTGAAGGACCTAGGTGTACTCGCGCTGCGGCTTGAAGTCTGTGGACAACACGAACCGGCCATATCTTAACGGACTGCGCATGCTTTTGGCGCTAAAACGTAGTTTCGGTACATGGTCTGAAGATGTCGCCACGTGCCTCCTCTTCTATCATCAGACCATTGCTAGAGTACGGTTCGCCTGTCTACTTTTCGATTATCCGCGGCGTGGCACTGAAGATCGAACGAATCCAACACGTTGCTACCAGGCTCATCTCGAGTTTACGTGGATTGGGGTATGAAGACCGGTGCGAGAAACTAGGACTCTACACCTTGTCCTACCGTCGGGTGCAAGTCGACCTCATATTCTACATCTCGGTGACTTCCCCATGCTGAGGCTAATGCTGCACTTACGAAGGTCTTGCAGCACACACGGACACAGATACAAACTTGTCGTTGGTGAACGAAATAAATCCAAGGTATTTCCCGGGTGGTAGGATGGAGATCGGCGTCAAGTAACAGAATGTGAGTGCCTCATTCAACCAACTTTTAAATATGACTTGATTGGGTGCAGAAACAACCGATTCGGGGAGACGGTTCCATGGTTGACACAAATGAATGGAAAAGCAATTTCTGCGATACTCCAGACGCCCGTACTGTTCTGGTAATTTCAAGAACTGGCCTCTAAGGTTGGTGTTCCTGCTGAGTTGCAGTAAAGAGCGGCACACATGATTTGGATTGTATACAATCAAGTATGCCATAGTAAAGCTACCTCGTAGTTTGCTATACCACCCACTGAATACTCTCAAACATCTCAGTCTCTGCATTCCGATTGCATATTCGGAATCCAGACATTGAAGTTGGTCAAGTGCAGTAAAGTCGTGCTTCCGTCATCGCTGCCAGGCTTGGACTGCGTATTCGACATAGGGGTGAACACACGTATTTAGCATCTGTTTGAAAATATTTGCGCCAATCAAGCGGTGTATCGCAAGGATCCGTCCTCGGCGCTCTACTGTTTTTAGTCTACGTTTCCGATGCAAATATTTACAAACGATGCTAAAATATGGAGAGCAATTCGCTTAGCATCCAACAGTGTCTATCTTCAGGATGATCTGGCTCGGATTAACGAATGGGCGGAAGCGAACCAGCTTCCACTGAACCCTGCCAAGTGCCACTTGCTGACGGTGCGCAGCCGCTTCGTCAACACATCTTTTGGGGCAACACGTGACTAGTGAACTGTATAATCGTGCAAGAGAGTATTAGCAATTTTTTCCAATCTTCGAAAGCAGCAAGTGTGGTGAACTTGAACTTGAGACTTTTGAGGCGAGCTCTCGGCACCTTTGAGCCACAGCTAGTACTAATGCTGATTAACTCCTATATTCGTCCACACGTTGTATATGCGATTCCGGTCTGGTGTCCATGGTTAAAACAGGACATTCGCCTAATAGAACAACCCCATAGAAGAGCCACAAAGGCAACGCGTGGCCTATGCGGTCTAAATTACGAACTGCGTATTCGTGTACTCGGCGTATTCTCCTCAGGATAAGGACGGTTTCGCGGAGATGTTATTCTCCCATACCGGATACTAACGGAAAGCGAGCATCCACGTACATCACTGTTGACCCTAGCCTCTTACAAACACTGTTGAGGCAACCACCTGAAACGAATGATACAACACTGCCGTTTAAATTGTAGAAACTATTTTTACTCACTTAGAATCGCTTGCCACTGGAATGCATTACCAAGATATATGTTGAACGTACCAGACATGACGACATCCGAAAGGCACTTAGACTTTCACCTGAATGATAAACACTAAACAACAGTTTGATAAAGTGCAATGGTTTAACCACTGGTACTTCACGTTCCACTTTGGAACATTTTGTTCTTAATTTGCTTTTGCGTATCCATCCTGTGGGTCTTGTAAAGTTATGCTTTTTCTACCATCGTACACTATTGTACTATATATAGTTGTTTGAACGCCCCTCGTGGCAAGCTGACGTGCTGTTATGTGTTTACCCGTACGTCCTCACTGACGTTCCACTTTATCTAGGCTTAATGCTTCATTTCAGCGGGTGAACTGTGATATACTTACAAAGTTCGTCCTTGTATTGTGTTGGGATAAAGACATGCAATCTTTAATCGGCGTGTCCATTCCGTCGCATTCGACACGGTTTTTGCACACGTTGCATGTAATTCGTTAGGTTAAATCTTCCTTTTGTTCGTTTCTGCTTGGCTATTGTGATACCATCCTAAAAGTCTGCAATATTAGCAGAAGCAATGATTTCGTTTCGCTGTTCGTCCAGCGAACTTCACCGCATGTTTGCTTCATCTCTCACTACTTCAGGCCTCACTGAAACGTAAACCATTTCCGAAGGCGGACGACACTGTTGCTCAACCCAAAGCAGAGCAAAAGCGATGGATGTCTGTGTCTGTCCAGACGACGACAGATCGGGCTACTCAAGTGTACGAACACTGGACGATCGGTGTTCCGTCCGGAGGGAGCGATTTTTTACCCAAAGCGGCATATCCACTCGATGCAGAGGAATTTGGACTCCACAAAAAAGAGGATGATGTGCGTTTCCTAAAACGACAGCCAAGGGATTGTGATATTTTTATGGTACGTTCTACCAGCGACATATACGATCATGAATTAGAAACAAAATAAACGCAAACTGCACTTGAAAAAAACTTTGCTTGGAATCCCTGTCAATTAGTTAACTGAGCTAAATACGAGACCTCATTCGTGTTCATTTCAGGATTATACTCAAAGGTGCGGGTGGACCCCTCACGATGTGTGAGTATTGGCTAACAGCCATCACATGCAATGCAAAGAACTGTACAGCCGTTTCATCCTCTGCGCCGCGGTAACCTATCATTCAGTGTGTTGTGAGCGGCGCTATATCACCTCTAGTAATTTAGTCAGTTCGGCCGTTACCATTTCCCCTCGTCCCGTAACAGTCGGGTTGCGGGTTCTAGCTCGAAAACTTGGCGCTAGAACGCGCACTGCTGACGATTCCTGAAAGGGTAAAACGGCCGTACAGTGTTTTCCCAGGCGTGCCATGACCGTTTGGATGCGTCTACACCATTTCCCTGCCAAGTTATCCTCTTGGGCAATAGCAATAATCTAAGGGGCATTCAACATGAGTCTACTCAATTAATTTGTTCCGTGCGTAGGAGCTGAAGCGTCCCACCTGCACCCCTATGACTTAGTGCGTCTGAGGTCTAATTGGCTGAAGGCGACGGGCTATACACACACACACCTGCACAAGTGACTGGCGTACGCATGGAACAAATTAGTTGAGTAGACTCATGTTGAATGCCCCTCAGATTATTTCTGTTGCCCAAGAGGACAACTTGGCCGGGAAATGGCATAGATGTGATACGATTAAACTTAATGTCGTTAATTCACGCACCACGTAACCCCACCTCGAACGGCGTTTTACTTCGGAGTATCTGAGGCTCATTTCGTCCCCTGGGGGGATCGTATCTGTCCTTAGGGGCTATGTTTGTTACCTGTGTTAAACAATACATGCAAACACCCTTCGTAACCTGCATGACATTGGAGGGTGAGCAGTGCTATGTCGTATTTAAATATCAGTCATGTTGGCGCGTCGCTGTCACACATGAATCAGTGGTATAACTCGATGGCTCATAATAGTGTGGTCACTTAGTAACTACAGGATGCACCCAAACATTGTGCTCTCCAGCCCTCACGAAATCGTTATAAGTGGATATATATGCGTGTGTAAACGGCTACACATATGTATTATCGAACATAACTTGACTTGCAGTGGGTTTATACTGTCGAATACCGTGGCGAGTCCACCAGTGTGAACCTAAATATGCTGACAATTTTTCTTCTACTTGAATTTTCACCGCGGGACCTGTTAAGTTACCGCATTCTTACCCGTATAAGACCATTGTTCAATAGAATTCGACGGATGCGTGCTATTGACGAATCCCACTAGTACGAAGCGGCCGTCTGGTGCTTTCCTAGATGTGTGACGGCTGTCTGGCTGAGTCTAGCTACGATTAATCTTCTCATAAGGACTGGTTTTTGTAATTTTTCAGTGGACTTTGGCCTAAAAGGGTTCGGTTACCTAATGCTTGCCAGTAGAGGCGTTCAACACTGGACAATCAAGTTTACTGAATTTACCATCATTTAGAATTCACGCTAGAAATTTTTTCAGGATTCATATGTCTAGGAAAGTGTAGATAGCATGTAGGGTTGAAAAACCGTTTCAAATACACGAAAATTAACTTAAATTCATCACGGTCTGATAAAGGATGCCCGGTCGCAACTTTAGTTAATACCTGAGGTAGTTGTTGTATCGACAGAGAAACGTGAACTCATGCATTTTCGGTCGCTCTCAGGTTTATATCCCACTTTTGGACTGACTGACATTTCACTATGAGGCGTAACTTTCCGTGGTATGGGCGTCCGAATGATCAAAGCATATATGTTGCGTTACTTCACTTTCTTGCGTTGCCTGTTGAAGTATTTGTTATTTTTTTACGTAATTTTGGCAAATATTGTACTGCTTTCTTCATGCAACATGTGTGAGCGGAGTCGAAGTTCCCCACTCGACCGCATCGACTGTAGCAAGAACAGGAGACCGATGGTAAACAATCGTTTTCGGTGATTGATCGTCAGATTTGTACAATCATATGAGCGCAACATTGGATTCGATTAATTCCAATGAGACTAGATCACCTGCCGACCAGGGGTATAAACCAGCAACAACCGTTAACGACAAGAGCCAACTAGGGCAAAGATGTGGTTGAACGATTGCAGTGGGCGTCAGGGTAGCTTAAGAGCTTCAGACACTTTCTATTGTGAACACCTAGACGGTTAATACAACTGAATACTAATCGCTTGGGCGGTAGCAAGTGTGCGGAGGCGTACGCCTTTCGATTGTAGTGCAGGAACCCTGTGTAGTGTTCGAGAGGCACGCATAGGGTCAGCGTCACGCCCACTATCAACAAGATGAGCTATAACAGAGCTAGTTATAGCCCCGTTGCCACCTCGACGCAACCAGCTTAGAAGGTGCTCATTAATGCACTTGCACAGGTGCCGTGCCGTCTGACCGGTGTAAGTGACGCCACAGAGGCACTCGAATTGATAAATGATTGCATTGAGCATAACGAATATCCTAGCGGATTCTGGAAGCAGTTGCTCCGCGCTCGGATCTATCCTAACGTCAAAACGATAAGACGGAGTGTTTTGCTTGGAGATGAAACGCGTAACCTTGTATGACTACGCTGGAGATCCAGGAAAGAAATAGTGACGGAAGGCGAAGGAATCATGTACTGGTCCACAGAAACACTGACGGTGAAATTCAAACATGTGTATATCAAAGGAAGATCCATACAGACCAAATATTACACTACCACATCCCCTGAAACTCAAGAAAAACTGTGTTCAGAGCCTTTTCAAAAGGTCGGAACACATTGCAGCACTATAGAATTGAGGATAAAGGAAGGGAACCATGTATACCGAGTATCACAAAACAACGGGTATCCAAGTTTCATCAAAAGAAGCTTAAAGAGAAGTGGGCCTTAACAACAGCGGAAACTCGTAGTTACACAGGCAGTGCATCCTTGCATTAATAACGTGGCTGAACTAACAGCGCAATTGCTACGACCACAAAGCAAATGGTACTTCGAGGGGATCACTCTCAAAGCCGAAAGTAAAGTCACTCAATGTAGTCAGAGCGAAATCATCTACAAGATAAACTACAAAGAAGATGACAAACACTACATCGGACAAGCTGCAAGGAAACTTTCAACACGGGTCAACGGACACAAAATGGTCGTACGAATTATACCACCCACATTCACTGACTTCCATGCATGAAGACCGAGGTCACCACCCACCTGGAGAACCTAAAGATCCCAGCCCGTGGAAATTCAAGACAAGTTATAGATTTCTTGGAAGCTATGTATGCATCACTACGAATGAACGTTCACCGACTTAGTCAACTAAATGTGACGGGACTGAACGCCGGGTCAATATGTCAAACGACGACGTCAAACACAGACATGCGTGCTTACGGTACAAGGCACAAATCAATGACATCAATTGCGATGGTCATATGCTCGTTGAACTATCCAAGCTCTAACAGATGATTCATCCGTCTTGAAGATCGACCATTCACAGTCACTGACACTTCGTACCTCGCCGGTCCGCTACGAACACGTGCACTGACGATGTCACTTGGAGTGGTGACGGAACGTTTGTAGCCAAAGTACCGAGCTCAGCGGACACTCAGCACACCAACTGAACAACCTGAGCTACCAATACTTGCTTCTGTATCACCCCTTCGTATTTATAGCCATACAGTATTTCAGGGTAATGTATAAACGTTACAGATGAATATTAATAAGACGTATGTGTTTCCACGTAGTGATAGGGTCCTGAGGGAAACTCAGTTGTGTTCATTATAACATGGGACGGTAGATAGCAGTGTCACTGTGGCGAGCCTCGGTGAATTCTGCTCATTGGTTTGGGACATAGCAACCGTGTCCGTGAGGAGAGGTCGGCTATGCCTCTCGCAGTTTGAGTCGTTGGATGGCCGTAGTATTGCTGAGGTGAGCTCAGCCAAACTCTGTGCAAGTCCCACGGACCTATGATAGATCCGTAACAACTTCCCCTCCTTTGAAAATCCTATTCTCTGTTTACCAACGATTAAACAGTGCGGTTTTCATCACTCACAGCGGTGAGGGAGCTGAATCCTCTTTCATGCCCAGCGTACATTCTATCTGTCGCTGTCTGCGTAGTGGCTCAAATGGGCCAGCGGGCAGCATTGCTATGATTTTACACCTTACGACGTTGGTAATTGTTTCTCGCGACACACCTGAGATTGTACAATGGAACATCGATTTAATGCGGGTGAAAAAGCTGAAGCCTATCAGGTCTCATAGGATGGGCATGGTGAATATTGCAACGTATAGAAAAGGAGCCAACAAATGTAAGTTCAAACCGGTGAACTTACTGAGGTATAGACGTTAAAAAATGTAAATCCTGTAGGTCCCTAAGAAATAGCGATAAATGCGCCGTTAGTAAAACCTGTCAAATGAGTGCAAGGTCAACTTTGTTTTTGAACACCACCGGAGTAAGAGAGCACAGCTGACACACATTTTGGGTGGGCATTCCACACTTGGCAAACACATATGGTAAAGAAATTCCGATGACATTGCAAACGATTGTACTGCTCTGCTAGCTTGAGATTGTGACCTCTCAGGTTACTGTTGTGACTAAGCTTTCGCAAATGGCGACACTTGTGGTCGGAATCTCTCAAAATCTGTTAAGTCAAATAAGGTCCTCAAGCATTCGGCTGTATTGTCCGCTGGACGCCTCGAGCGATCGTAGCCTTTGTTCATACGGAAAATCATGCAAACCTTTAAACCTAACGGTTGCCCGGCGTTAGGGTATCTCCAACTCGATGCGATCTCACTTCAACCACGATTTTTATACCTTTATTGCGTATTCCACATGTGGACGTATGTATGTGCCGAGAAGCTAAGGAATAAGTGACCGTCAGAATCGTTCGAATACACGCCACAGAAAGCTTATGTTTTGGATGCCCCTTCTTGATGCCTTTTCACCTTGATTCG